TGTCTGGAGTGCATGATCTTAATATGTTTATTGGTATATACCTACCAAATAACACATTATATGAACTAAATTCAAATGAAAATATTACAGATGGACCTTAAAGTTGATCAAAAGTGATAAAAAAGAAAAATATCTGAGTTTCTAAATTACAAGTTTAACAGGATGTGGCCCACTCTACCTGAATTCACCCTACTTTATTTTCCATGTGGGTATGCTGAGAATCAAATAAATATCCAGAGATAATATAGCTGCTATAGACGTTAGGGCCAAAAAATAAAAAAGCTTATTTCATTGGCAAAAAGAAATTGAGTTAATTAAAAGAAACTGAGTTGAAGAGTGAGAGAGTCCAGGTAGTTTCTTAGCCAGAGAAAAGAGGATGACCATGGTAGGATTTAAGAAACATAAAGATTCAAAATTTAGACAGACCTAAAGATGCTTGTTAGTTGTTGAATGTATTTTGAAAAATGGCAAACACTAAAACTGTATTCCAGATATGTCCAAGTTTGCTCCTTTTGATAAATGAAAAATTATTGTGTTTATCAAAATGAGTGTGTTTAATAAAAATTGTAACATGTACATTAAAAAGCATAGTGGGCTTATTTCAAACACACCTGGGTTTAAGTGGTACAATTGCACTTAGATCTGAGTGTAAGAAAAAGCAGTCTTCTTAGAGTTACGTTGATTGGTGCTGATGGTCTAGAATCTAGAGGTCTTCAACAATGCTCCTGGGGACCCACTGTCCTGCAAAGTTTATTTCTAACCTGCTTCAGCACACCTGCCCGTGTATTTTCAAGCTTGATTAGCTGCTTCAGGTATGTTTGATTAGAGTTGTAGCTAAACTCTGCAGGACAGTGGGTCCCCAGGAACAAGGTTGAAGCCATGCTACTATAGCCATGCTGTCGCCCATCAAGATGTAGCTAGCGAAGCTGGCTAACCAGCATGCCCATTCTGGGGAAGTTGGTTGACTTATGGGCTTAGCTGGTGTATTTTAATGTAATGGATTATCTTTTCCATCTTTCACATTGTTTTTACTTTACCCTGGGTTAGCAATCAGTCTTTGTATACTTTATTCATCTCAGTTCATCTCTGGGCAAAATAAAAAGTGTGGAATGTTGCTTAAGCCAAGGTTAAAAGTGGCCTTTATCTGAGGTTTAAAAAGATGTTAACCCAGTGTTAAGTGTATTGAGAAAATCCATTAAGGATGGCTGTTTAAGCTGTTTAAGACAACTAGCCAAGTTAGTTAAGATGCCGCACCAGCACATTACCATCTCCTGCATCCAAATCACAACATATGCTGGTAACTAACTCTTCTTTTCAGCTGGGATGGGTGCAGGCTGATTTTTTTGCTTCAGGATATTTGAGGAGGAAGTAAAAATATTAAGTGGTAGATCATCACGTTATATTAACCTATTGTGACTTAAACCGGCCATTAACTAAACCTCTTTTGCTTTCTGTTCTTTGTGTACCTGTTAACTTTTGATTTAAAGGGCTTTGTACCTAACTTGGCAAGGTCATAGATATATTGTTATGAGAAGATAGTCGATCCAGTAATATTTGCTCTACCATTTCAGCTGAATCCCTTCTAACCCTTTAACAATGACAGACTCACACACGCATACGGAACCAGCCCAGCTCTTACAAAAGAATCAATTGCCCTTCACCGACTTTTTCTATCTTCTCTAGCTCTATCCTTCCATCTCTCTCTTATTCAGCCCCAATTCTGCTCTTCATTAAGGTGGTCATATCAAGAGCGGGCTGTAGAAGCTGTGTCCCTCTCTGCAGGCTCTGGGATAAGGATGAATCTATGGGGACAGAGATTACACTGAGGGTCTTACAGCCTGTCTGCAGAGAGAAATTGGAGGAATTCTCATTAAACTAGAGAAAAGCTGTCTAGTTCTCACCTAGACAAACACATGACACTTGACCTTCCAGGATTACATTAGTACTAATGTGTGCATACACACTCAGAGGACAGTTTTATTTCTCAACTGTTGCTCTTTTAGATCTCAGCAGACTTAGAGTTCGCAGTTGTGGTTTATTTTAAGTGTCAGTCTCAGATGTTCTGCTGAATTTTCTTAGATGGAAAATATAAAATCAAAAAGGACAGCTGTTTATATGCAATTGGGAGTGTAATGAAATGAGTGTGGTTTGCATAGCCCAGATAGTTTGGTCTTGAAATAACAGTTGAAAAATGTTTGAGTTCATATTGAAATATTTTTGTCATTTTGGCAAATTAGAGCACAATTTGAGATTTCTTATGAACCTCTAATAAATTGTATTTTTTAACAAATTACTGTTATAGTTTTTTATTTTATTTTTTAGAATTACAGAATAGAATCGGGCAGAATATTACTCATTTCAGATTTATTCTGTTTTTGTTAAGTTCAAATCGTTAAAAAAAAAATTGATTAATTTCAAATCATTGTAGTATACAGGTGCATCTCAATAAATTAGAATGTCGTGGAAAAGTTAATTTATTTCAGTAATTCAATCTGCCACTCACTGCACAGAACAGACACCGAGAGAGGTGACACTTCTCCGGCAAAGTCAGACCTCGCGTTCGCGGGACAGCACTGACGAAATCTTCCAACTGAACCATAGCTAAGGTTTATACAAAAAAGTCGCTAGGGATTGAGACACCCTCTTCAGTGAAGGGCACATTTTCTCTGGGGCTTTCTACAGGATTCATTAGACACCGGACTGTTGAAATAAATCAAGTGTGAAGGACAGAAAGCCTTTCAAGAGGTGGTCAGTGGATGCCTCTTATATTCAGGTGATTTATTGAGCATATTTTTTTAGTTGTTTTAAGAAAATTCTCCTTATAAGACTACCAAAATACAGGCTTCATTTCTGTGAGGGCTTCTCAGGCCAAACCCCTTGATTGGATGAATAATGCCACTGTAAATAGAAATGTCATTGAGCAATTGTCTGCTGATTAATTTCCGCAGATGAGAAGTTCAGCCCATGCTGATATTTATGAGCTAAATTTAGAGTAATCACAGGGTTATGAACACATTGTTTATAGAAATAATATTCTCTAGAAACAAATAGTATTTTCTGGAAATAATAATTTCTCTATGTGAAATGAATGTTGTTTAGAATAATCCCTTTTTTTGTCCAGTTTGATATTGCTGCCTCTCTCCCTCTAATTCTTTCTTTCTGCTTATTTTTGCCATTTTCTTTTAAAAATCACCCCTGTGAAATGAGTCTTGCAGTCTTTGTTAGTTTGGTAATCTGTTTTGAGATCTTCATAAAAAAATGCAATTCAGTATACACAGTCCTGGGTCAAGATTGATTTACCTTTATTTTGCTCGGTCTTAACAAACCAAGCTGGATTCAAATGCTTATTGTAGACTGGAACACACATGTATTAGTTTGAAAGATGTTTATTTTTTTATGTAAATGACAACATTACAATTAACCAATTTATATTAGATTAAGAAGCCGTTTATATAATTGACTCCATGATTGGCTTAAAATGCATTTCCTGTCTATTTGATATGCAAGTATAAGACTTGGCATCATTGTTTAGATATTATTAATGTGCTCCTGTAATAGCAGGTTGTTTCTGCTCTGCCTTTGTTATGCAGTACCATGCTGTTTACATGGGCTGTGTAAATGCTGTAACCTGTGGGTCTTCAACAAGGGTCTGGGGAAAAAAAAAGAAGTAAATGTTAAGTTCCTAGTTAAATAAAAGTTAAATTCAGCAAGGATGCACTAAATCAATAAAATGTGACAGTAACGACTTTTACATTGTGTCAACAATATTCAAATAAATGCTGTTCTTTCTATTTCTCAAGGAACCCTGAAAAAAGTACTATGATTTCTACAAAAAGTAGTACAACTAACACTGATAATATTAAGAAATGTTTCTTAAGCACTAAATCGGCATATTAGAATGATTCCTGATGTATCATGTGACGTTGAAGACTGATGAATGAAAAGAACATGAAGGCTATCTTGTGAAATGCCTGCAAATATGTGAGAAGTGTACTGAACCATCCCAGAGAACGCTGCAGTCCTAAGTGTATATCAGTTACGCAGAGCTGCAGGTGCTACACTACTTCCTGGAGATGGAACCTACACTGCGGCTGATGGACCAAGATGCCAGCTGCCTTACTGCTCACCTACTGCTGACCTTGACCCTGCTTCTTTACCGAGGATGCCAGACCAGACCAGACACCTTTAGTCCATTTTTCTTCAAAATCGGAATTTTCTTTTTGTAGCTTAGTTAAAAATATGGCTTTTGGGGCTGAGGACGAAGTTTTGAGTTCTGAAAGTTGCATTACATTAACATTTCACTTTTTACATTTCAGAAGATGAAGTGACATTTGCCTATATTGTTCAAATCATACTGAAGTTTTTTTTTTTTAATCGTGAAAAATTATCTCAAATCATGTAATAATGAGATTGTACAGGGAACTGCTTTTATAAAACCAGCTTTGGAGAGATGATAGAATCACTCACAATTGTCTTCATATTCCCCTGTGCTTGTGGCTCTCATGGTGCTCTTGTGGCACTTTATTGTCTAGGTTTAATTATGCCTGGTTGTTTTGACCTCTTGACAGCCTATTTAAACCTGTCTGTGTCACTGCACATAATAACTATTGCATTTACATAAACCATGAATATTTAACACACACACACACACACACACACACACACACACACTAAGATGAGGATGTCATCTCTCAATTTTCCATTACAATACTTGTCAGTTTGCTATGACATCACATGAGTTGGTTTATTTAATATCTAAAAAGATGGATTCCTCAACTAAGTTCTGTATTCCTGTGCTTGAAGAATTCATGTACCCAAAAAAGAGCATTTAGTGACTGATACAATTCCTGAAAGAAGAAAGAAACTCATAGTTTCAGAATAACAGGAAGATGAGTAAATGATGACAGAATTTTAATTTTTGGGTGAACTATATGAAACGGATAGACGTTAATATTCTAACCTGTTTACTTGTTTTTTTGTTTTTGTTTTTTTGTTTGCAGACAAGTTAAATGTGTATGTCACGCTGAAGGTCCAGAATGTTAAAAGCACAACCATCATGGTGCGAGGAGACCAGCCCTGCTGGGAACAGGATTTAATGTTGTGAGTATTGCTGTTTTTGTGTTTCCATGCTTTTGGAAATGTCTGTAGCACTGTAACACTCAAATATGTGCCTAATGAAAGGGCCCCAATTCACAAACCCACTCAAAACTACTTTGCTGTGGAAAATGGAAGAATGTTTATGAGCACAACAAATTGGATGTGCAGATATGTTCTTTGAAGAAGAAAACACACACACACACACATACACATACATACATATACATACATATACACTGAACAAAATTATAAACGCAACACTTTGCCCCCATTTTTCATGAGCTGAACTCAAAGATCTAAGAATTTTTCTATGTACACAAAAGACAAAAGGCTCTCAAATATTGTTCACAAATCTGTCTTAAATCTGTGTTAGTGAGCACTTCTCCTTTGCCGAGATAATCCATCCACCTCACAGGTGTGGCATATCAAGATGCTGATTAGACAGCATGATTATTGCACAGGTGTGCCTTAGGCTGGCTACAATAAAAAAAGTCACGTAGTGATGTCTGGCTTCACTTTGAGAAGACCGATGAAAATACAGTTCAGTGCAAGCTGTGCAGCGCCAAGCTGTCACACAAATCTACAACAAGTACAATGTGCTATCATCTAACATTTGTACATAAAATGTCTGGCGATAACAGAGTGGCAACTCAGACGAGCATTGCATCATTTGCCGTAAGACCAAAATGCAACACAGGCAGAACCGAGAAGATGACACAGCTAATCGCTGAAATGGTGGTGAAAGATTTGCTGCCCATTAGTTTCGTCGACGGAGAAGGATTTAAAGATTTCATGCATTACGTTGAGCCCGAGTATGACATTCCGTCACGCAAAACAGTCACGGCAAGAATAGATGCTCTATATGAAAAGACTGCTTCTTCACTGAAGGACAGACTGTCAAAGACAATAGTGACACTAATGTAGTCTAAGAATGTGAATTTATTGTACTTTCGTGTTTTTAAAGCGCAATCCGAGTTACAAACACTAACTTGCCATTACATTGCTGAATGGGAAATGCACAGTACAGTGTTATAGACGTGCAGTTTCGATGAACGACACTGCCGTAAACATTGCCAACTACCTAAAAGATGCCACAGAACAGTGGCTGTTAAACTCGGACAAAGTAATTGCTTGTGTCCACGATAACGCAAGTAATATGGTTCTGGCGAATCGAGGACTTTGGGAATCAGTGCCCTGCTTCGCACACACCCTGCAGTTAGCCATAAACGAAGGTTTCGGTGTTGCATCCGTAAAAAGCGTTATAGCTGCTAGCAGCCGGTTAGTGGCACATTTTCACCACAGCACAGAGTGGCTACAGCCGCACTTCGCCAGAAACAACAACAGCAGAAAGTACCCGAACACAAACTTATCCAGTACTGTCACACACGGTGGAATTCTGTGTGCGATATGTTTGAATGTCTTTTTGAACAAAGATGGACTGTGTGCGCTGTTCTGTCAGATCGCAATTTTACAAAACTTGTTGATGCGAAAACACTTGAGTTGAAAGATGAGCACTGGCAGATTGTTAGAAGAACTGATACCTGTTCTCCAGTCTCTCAAGTGCCACAACAGCAATGTGCAGTGAGACGCATGTTTGCGTTTCGATGGTTTAACTTTATCCAGTCACACACTGCCTCATCACGAGACACCTAAACACACAAATCGATGAGTCTCCAAGAGTGTCGGAATTCAAGACAACTGTGGCAGAATCTCTGAAACGGCGCATAATCACTGTTGCTAAGGATGCCGAGAAAGTGCCGCTGCATTTGATTGCGGCAATATTGGATCCAAGACACAAGCACCTGAAGTTTCTTGAGACAGAGCTTCGAGAGAGAGTAAAGGAGAATCTTAAACAGCTTTACGACACAGTCACAAATCCTGTTACACCCATGCAAAATGACCCTCAGCCTGAAGGGTCAGCAGCTATGGCGCTTGACACTCTTTTTGGCGAGGATTACGGTGCAAGTGATGTTTGTTCACGTGACACCGAAGTCCAAAGCTACTTCAATGAACCATGCATCTCTGTGAACCAGGATCCTTTACTGTGGTGGAAGATAAATGAGAATCGGTTTACAAAACTGAGCATACTTGCCCAGTGGTACCTGGCTGTTCCTGCAACATCTGTTCCAGCGGAGTGAATTTTTTCCACCGCCGGCCTAATTGTGAACAGACTCCGCACTCGGCTCTCACCTGAGCACGTAGACCGACTCATCTTTTTGAACAAAAATTTTTGAACGTCTGTTTGAACGTTTTAAGTTTCACCGGTCGTGGTAAATATAATATCCATTTTTTTAATTAATATTATTATTATTATTTTAGTTTTGAGTTTTAGCAGCCATAGTTAAAATATCTAGGCTATTTGGTCTCTATTTTACACCTTATAGCAGTTGTTTGGTTAAACTTTGTTGAACTTTTTTCTTTATCTTTTAAAAACGAAGTTGTTAATTTTTGTCGTTTCAAATGCACCACTGGATTAAAATATGCTGCTAAAGTTATACTGGAAGACAATGTTTTGAAAAAAAAAATTACAAATTGCAGTTGAATAAAGTAGCAAAAAAGCAAAAGTATCTTTGCGTGTTCATTTTTAAATCACATCACAGACAAATAATGAAATAGTCTTTATAAAATAAAAATGCATTGGATATAAGCGCTGCATATCAGTGATTAGTTTCATGCTCAAATGCAATGCCCGGTAATGATTATATTGCTTTTAGATGTTTTTTTTATTTATTATTATTATTACTGATGTTATAATAATGCAGCCGTGCTTTTTTTCGTCATATTTGTGGGCATAATTCAATTCATATGGCTTCGAAAACGCGCAGGCGATTTATGGATTTATGGAAAATAAAACTTAATAAACTTAACTTAAAACTTATAACTTAAAACTTAACTTAATAACTTAAAAATAAAACTTAATTACAACTATTACACTTAATAACATAGATGAAAATATAGCACAAATCTGCCATACATTTATAATGAGAACTTTATAGAAATCTATAGTAAATTCTGTCCTTGCCCATCTTTCAGCGCGCTGTCATGAGCTCGCTCTCTCTCTCTTTCTCTGTCTAGCGCACAACTTAGCATCCTATTGTGCAGATACAAGTTGTAATGTTACGTCTGCTATGTATCTAAGTTATCTGATTTATCATAGGATGTGTCATAGAATGAGCTTCAGTTTATTGGCATAAAGTCACTCTTCACCTCAGGCAGCTATTCCTTTTTAGATGCTTCTTTATTAATAACATTGCTTCATCATAATCATAATCTAACATGTCCTAATCATGTGTTCATGTTTTCATAGACAGGTTTTCATGTCATATTTTTATTTTTAACATTCATTTTCATAACAATCTTCAGATTTTTTCATTATATCCATTACGGCCATGCCCCGCCCCCCGCACAAGCCCCGCCCCCGATTACTCGATTAATCGTTTTTGAAACCTATCGATGATCGAAATGAGAAATTTCCCAAAATGCCCATCCCTATTTTAGAGTGGCCTTTTATTGTGGCCAGCCTAAGGCACATCTGTGCAATAATCATGCTGTCTAATCAGCATCTTGATATGCCACACCTGTGAGGTGGATGGATTATCTCGGCAAAGGAGAAGTGCTCACTAACACAGATTTAGACAGATTTGTGAACAATATTTGAGAGAAATAGGCCTTTTGTGTACATAGAAAAAGTCTTAGATCTTTGAGTTCAGCTCATGAAAAATGGGGGCAAAAACAAAAGTGTTGCGTTTATAATTTTGTTCAGTGTATATATATATATATATATACACACACACACAGTATACATATATATATAAAATAAATGGAAATATTTATTTTAGGATAAAGTGTACAATTTTTTTATTTTATAAAAATTAGACCTGTTATGTTCTGTATATCTTCATATAGCATTTTTTTTGGTTCTTGCTTTAAATTACGCACACACACTTCAGTTTGTCTTACCTTCTCTTACCTTTGACCCTCTTGTGTTGTTATGACAAATGCTAAATAGCTTTTTGATGGGCTCTCAGGAGGTTTTTGTGCATCCCAGAAATTGTCCCCGATTTTCAGATTGTTCCAGAGAGAATTTTGGCAATTCTTCAGGAAGAATTATGAGAATCAGCTGCAGTTACAGTGATTACCAGAGAGAGGGGGAGCAGGACTGGGAGTTCACAAAACACAAGGACTGACATTTAAAGTTTTATTTCTTCTATTAAAAAAGCACATTTGTTCAGTCTTCACCAGAGATGGAAGGGTTACTTAATGTTTTTCCAATATTGTCAGTAATCTAATATAAACAGTGTTGAAAGTAACACAATTTGTAGACATTATTAGAGATTACTTTTCACATTTAATTTGAGTGATAATGGTGAGAGAAGGGTTCATTTCAGTCTGTTTCTCATACAAAGCTCTTGAAGCCTTAATCTCATGTATATTGTTACATACTTTTTTTGAAGATTAAAAACCTCAATCCCCATTCATTGTAATTGCATTGAAAATAGTGAACTTAGAAAATAGAAGTCACTTGTGTTTTGGGACAATTTGAAGAAATATTATGTGAAATTGTCAGTAGTTTGATTATATTATGTTAACTATTGTTAAATTATGAGGTTTCATGTGTATTTTATATATACTGACCCAAATATAGGGTCAGTAAGAATTTTTTAATACTTTTATTCATGACAGATGCAGTAAATTGATCAAAAGTGACAGTAAAGTCAATTATAACGTCAAACACAATAATATATATATATACAGTGGGTACGGAAAGTATTCAGACCCCCTTCAATTTTTCACTCTTTGTACATAATTTCTCAGAAAGAAAGAAAAAAAAATAAAATAAATGAAAACACATACATACACCTTAATGTTATTATGAAGAGCATGTATATACAGAGTATGTATGCCCTCAATCTTGAAAACAATTTCTCAAATGTTACATACGCATTATATTTTCTTCCTCTTAACAAAAACTATATACAAAAGAACATGGGGAACTATTGCTT